TGCAGAACCAAAAACCTACAGGGATATCACATAGGCCCTCAAATGTCACTAGCCCCATGGCAGAGTGACTTCCAGCTGCTAATGGGGGAGCCACAGCCTTGAAATGGTTTGGCAGCCAGGTGCCAACCCTTCCTGCCTTGCTCCCCAAAGCAGAAGAAGAAACCTCCTGTAAAGGTGAAAGGCTGCTGCATTGCCCATGCCTGGAAATAGCTGTGTTCCAGGGGCTAGCAGTTCCTTCATATTTTAGCCCTCAAAGCAATATGTAAATACTATGGCACATAAATAAAACACACATAAATAAAACAGCACATAAATATACTACTAGATTTAAGGTCAGAGACTGGCATACTGTACTGTATAGTGGACTGTAATTTTCTTTCCTAAATTAGAGGCTAACTGTGCTGGTGGAAGCTAAACTAAAGCTGAGAGCTTCCACCTCTCCAAGAAGGAGCAAACTACCAACCACCTTGACCCGTGGTACCCTGCCACAATGCATTGCAGGAGCTTAGTGCTGCTGATTTTGGAGCCTCCACTGAGACACTGTGGCACCCAGTCCTCAGTCCAGTGATATACCATTCAAATCTGCCAGCCTGCCATCTGTGACATCTCTACCATAGGTTTCTAACCCTTTTGCCAAGGCAAGCTAAGCTGCGGAGAGTCTGAAGCTTGCTTTGGTTTCCAGCTCACTTTTTGTGTTCACATAGTTCAGCCTTCTCCGGGCAGAGAGCACAGCCCGCATCAAAATCCATTTTCCATCTAGTGACAGGCTGTTAAAATTTGTGATGTCAGTTACAGCCCAGTATTATTTACTGCAAGATAGAGAGCCAAGCTACAACAAATCCCTGGTACAGAATTTTTCCAGCTGAGGCCAAACTGTGACCTGAAAGAAAAGTTCAACATTTGGGAAGAAGCTAGCACAAGTTCTGGCTGAAGTCTGTCCCTCGTGCCATGAAACATCAGTCAGGAGATTGCTCATGTTGTTTCTAACTGGACCAACTCAGCCAACTGGCAATTGCATTTTCCCAGGACGCATTGCTAGGACAAGCAAGATACTCTGTAGTAAAAACCCTTTTAGTGATGTGTTGACCACATTGTGTTTCCTGTCTCCTTTCTGCAGGCTTGGTTGAAGAGGGAAGTCTCTATGTCTTTAAGGAAGAGCGCTTGATTGAATTTGATGGGGAACTGGCCACGGATGTCTTGGTGGAATTCCTCTTGGATGTAAGCACAGATAAGCTCAGAGCTAGACAAAGCCTCTCAGAGAAAACCTTGCAAATACTCACTTTGCTAAAAAGCACAGGTTTATCTTTATTTGAAATTCCATCCCTGTTTGCTACACACTGGTAGTGATTATATTTGCCAGCTTCCCAAATACTTGTCTGACTGTAAGTTCCCAGGAAAGCTGGTACCTTTATATGCCACCAACCACTTAACATCTTAAAGACATTTTGCCTTCTTTCCTGTTTATGGAGTATTTGATGGAAGCAAGCAACAATCCCACATAACTAACCACTAGTCACCCGCCTCAGTTAGCAAGCTGGTGTGCAAACACTGCCATTTGCAAAATCTTTCACTCTTTTTTTTTTTAAAAAAAGAGTTTTGGGTTGTTTTTTTTTTTAAATATCCAAGAAGTAACATTCCCATAACAAAAACCAGCTCAATTTTGAAGAAGGTATATGCTGCAAACTGTTTGCCCATTTCTACACACAATTGCACAGACAACATAGTGTACTACTGCCTCTTCAGGGACTTTACTGAACCAGTCTGCACTGCCATGAGTTAGAGAAGAGCCTAGGACTTAGTTCTTTGAGGTCATTTTGTGCACAGGCACAAGTATCTACTCACCCTTGCACCTAAATGCAAGAGAGATGTTGACTCCCGTATCGATGTGTTGCACTTCTCTTTACATTTTATTCCAGTGGAGAGAATAAAGCCCAGAAATGTGGTCTTTGCTTTGCAGTGCAAACATTCTGCAGTGGTTGGCTTTCCTTTGAAATGAGGCTCCCTTTCCGAGCAGCTGTGCAATAGTGCAGATGAGGGAGGTAAGGCAAGCAGCAGAGCTGGCAGCGTTTGTTTCCTAGGGTGGCAGGTTGCCTAAACCAAGACCTGCGGTGCAGGAGTGCGTGTGGTGAAAGGCACATCTTGGGAAGAGAAACAGCACCCTGGGACCTCAGCTTTCCTATAGGAATGCATCTGTGGCTGCCTGCACCTGGTGCTGTGGCCAAAACACATATAAGTGGCTTCAGGGACAGAAGCTGGTGTCATGCTCCACCTTGGAGGGCCACAGAGTTTTGCTGTGACCCCAGCAGCGGTGGGATCCTTGGTCCCTGTGGCTCAGGCCACTCTAGCAGCAGGGAGATGTCCACACTACTCTGGACACAGCCAAGCCACATGCCAGAGCATCCCTTGGAGGGGTGCAGCATAGGGCACTTTGTGAGGTTTTGTTTGCTGTGCTTTGCGGTGTGCCGTTGAAAAATCATGTTCTGTGAGCAAGGGCAGAGAGGAAGGATTTCTGGTTTTGTGTGTTTTCCACTCAAGAGAGAAAAAACCCAGCAAGGCAGGGAAATAAATACAAACACATCTGTGGTGGCTGAGCAGCCTACTCTCAAAGGAAAACAAACCAAGAGGTCCTCTACTCCTCTGTAGGCTGTACAGTGCCCTGCCTGCATTTTTTTTTCTAGTGAAACCGTATCTGATTTATACCAGTATTGCTGGGCAAAATAATCAGACCAAATCTTTTCATCAGCAGCAGCTAGTTAAGGAAACAGAAACAAAATTTAGACTAAGGACAGGGTGAAGTGGCAGATAGGACTTCCAACTTCCTCATCAACACTGTGATGTGTCTGGGGCCAAAGCATGGGTTTAACCCACTCTTCATAGGAGGATCAGCCAGGAAAATTCACATCCAGACTTTCCACTGCTCTGAAACATTGTTTGGTCACATTCTAGCATGCTGGTTTCAATGTTTTCTGAAAGCAAATTCTTCACAGTAACCTCTTCCAGCAAATTACAGTTAAAAACAAATATATTCATCATTCACAGAAGCTCAGTTTCCATACCAGCCCCTTTCAACTGCTATTCCTTTTTTTTCAGCCACTCTAAATCCAGTTGCAATTGCTACCCCTTATCTCACATGACAGCAGGTCCCTCAGCATCTATTTGGGTTACTCAGATGTCTCTCAGCTTCCCTCTTGATGTTTCAACCTATGCAGTGAACCTACTAACATCCCCCTCTGAAGGTGACCTGCATCTCTCGATTCCTCACATTAAGAAAGAGAGCACTAAGTAGGGTTTCCAGCAGCAGAGAAATTGGGTGACCTCTTTCTCCCCACTTAGACTGCTAGTGATGCACCCTGCCAGGCATAGGTTGGTGCTGCAAATTGTTGTGTTATCAAATGCATTTGTCATGGCAGCTGCTAGAAGACCCTGTGGAGATCATAAACAACAAGCTGGAGCTTCAGGCCTTTGACCAAATCGATGACGAAATCAAACTCATTGGCTACTTCAAAGGAGAAGATTCTGAACGTAAGTTGAATATGTTCCTCATGGGGCTTGGAGCCTGGCTTGGGGCACTGGGGGCCGGGTGTTGGTTCTTCTGCATGAACATTAGCAGGCAGGTTTCTGCCATTGCTGTGCATGAGCCCATTCCTACACTGACAGTGGTGACCCTTCTGCAAGTTGTCTGCTGCCAAGAGAAGAGGGCAATTATCCAGGGTCTCCTGAAGAAAAGTAAGTCTACCTCACCCCAAATCAGCTGAGGTTACAGTTACATTGGGTGAGCAACTAAAGGAGCAAAGCTCCCCCTCTTACGAACAGTGAGCCCAAAAGGTCAAAGAAAGAGGGAGGCAAAAGGGAAGGAAAGAGGGGAGCACACATTAAATACTAACTTGGTAAACAACAGCAGCAGTAAGCAGGATGCCTTAGGGCAGCCTGGCAGAGGCACTGACCTGTTTCTCCTCGCTGAAGCTCAAGGCTGAGAAGAGGCTGGTCCCATGCCCTGAGGGATGTGCAACTCAGGGACCATTTCAGGCAAAACCGTTAGTTTTCACAGATCTTGAGAAACCCTCACTTGAGACTCTCCCTGGCGAGCCCCAGCAGTCTCTGCCAGCCCCGATTGCTCCCCCTGCTCCCGGGCACTGCAGGCAGAGTGCGCCTCACACTTTGCCTTCAGCAAAAAGACAGGTATTCTCACCTGAACAAGTAAAGTGTCAGCAGGTCTGTTGTTCTCTCCTTCCAGATTACAAGGCATTTGAAGAAGCTGCTGAACACTTCCAGCCATACATCAAGTTCTTTGCCACCTTCGACAAAGGGGTAAGCATCCACGGACCTCACTGTGAGAGATCACAGCCTCCACCACTTGTTTTCCAGAAACTCAGGATGCTCCATATGTGGATCCAGCTTCTCATTTTCAGTGTTCCTGTAATTTGTGGTTTAGGTGTCCACATTTAGATTTGGGTCTGTCGCAAGATAAAAGGCCATTGCTGCAGCATGGAGGCAGGTCTTGGTTTGGGTTCAGAAACCAGCCCCACTAGGTCTGTGGGACCTTGACTCTGGCCTTGCTCTGCCCCAGTGCTTGATACCAGTAGTGCAGAGAGCCTCAGTGTTTTTTTAACTGAGGAAAGATCCATTCATATTTTGTTGGCCACTCCTGAGAATGCATGCTCTGAAAGAGAGGAAGCACCTTGACCTCCACTCTGCCACTGGGAAAGGCTCCGGCCAGGCAAAGAGGCACGTCAGGCTCACTCACTTCTGACCATCTGCATTGCAACAGGTTGCCAAGAAGCTAGGCTTGAAGATGAATGAAGTGGACTTCTATGAACCATTTATGGAAGAGCCTGTTCACATCCCCGATAAGCCTTACACAGAAGAGGAGCTGGTTGAATTTGTGAAGGAGCACAAAAGGTACGTAGCATACAGGACACTCCTGGCCATGGGAAGCTGCTAAATGTATCTGTCATCACAGGCTTGCTCCTCTAGGGTAGCCCTCTCAGTAAAGACTGGGATGACAAACACCTTTTGGCGCTTTGCTGACCCAGGTTTGAGGTACTGGCTGGTCTTTTCTTACTCTCAGAGGTGCAAGTATCTGTGCCGCAATCAGAGCCCACCACCATGGGGCTGTGAAGATATAGCTTCCCTCCTCCTTCTCCCCGGTCAGTCCTCCCTCAAGAGCAGGGAGGCTCACAGGCATTAGAGAGCAGAAACCTTGCCCTACTGATCTCAGATGGGTCTGTAAGCAGGTTATCTGCATAGATCAAGCTTGGAGGAACTGTGATGGACTAAGAGGCTCCTGATAACCACAGGTACTGAGAAGAGGCCACTGCTGTTACGGCTGGGTTAGTCCTCATCTGCAAAGCTGCTGAGCACCTACAATGTTTGATCAAGCCAGTGGGAGCTGTGGATGCTCTGTGCTTTTTGCAATATCAGGTTTATTGCATATGCAACTACCTGAAAGGAGGTTGTAGCAAGGTGGGTCTTGGTCTCTTCTCACAGGCAACAAGCGATAGGACGAGAGGAAACAGCCTCAAGTTGTGACAGAGTAGGTTTAGATTGGATATTAGGAAAAATTTCTTCACCAAAAAGGTTGTCAAGCATTGGAACAGGCTGCCCAGGGAAGCGGTTGAGTCACCATCCCTGGAGGTATTTTAAAGTTGTGTAGATGAGGTGCTTAGAGACGTGGTTTAGTGGTGGACTTGGCAGTGTTAGGTTAACGGTTGGACTCGATGTTCTTAAAGGTCTTTTCCAACTGAAACAATTCTACGATTGCACAGTTGTTTAGGGACTCGGCCAGCAACACCCTGGAAGTGACTGGGAAGGCTGATCCTGTGTAAAAGCACAGGGTTAAATGTAAGGGCACAACTACCTACGAGGTGCTGTATTTTTACACTCTTAAAAAATACAGCACAGGACAGTCACACAGGCTATTTGTTGCTCCTCCAAATGCATTTCTCAGCAGACATTCAAGGGATGACAAAAGAGTTCGGGAAAAGCAGGACCATTGATACTGCTAGGGCAGCCCAAATTGGGCTGGGCTGGAGGTTTGTGTTCACACACGGAGGGTTCAGAGACAGGAGATCATCTCCAGAGTCTGCAAGTCACCAGACTTGGAAACAGATCTCTGCTTTTTCTGAAATATGAAGGGGTCCTCTATCTCCCAGGGACTCGCAGGTCACTTTGCTGACCTCCTGGACTTCGTGACCTCAGTCCTTCCCATCTTTCTTCCCAAGCTCTTTCTGTCAGGCAGCAGGGTCAGGAGGCTGATTAAACACAGTCAGCTAAGTGGTAGCCTAATAAGGCGAGCAAAACCCCCCAAGTCTTACATATTTCAAGATGCTATGCTGTGCTTGGTAGGAGCAAGGGGTTGGGCCATATATTTTGCAAGTGTGAAGACTCAGACAGGAATTAAAAGGAATCTTATGAAATTGGATGCCCAAAATCCCAAGCCTGACAGGGCGCTGCCAAGGCAGGAGAAAATCTCTGGGGTGACAGTGATGTGTTCCCAGCAGTTAATACTAAGTCTCTCGGAGCAGAAGTGCTTCTTTCTGCCTTGCCACCAGTAAAGGACCTAAAGCCAAAGGCTGGAAGTAGAATTAGTCAGACACAAAGATGAGTACTGTACTCAAGTACTATGTTCAGTTTTGGGCCCCTCACTACAAGAAAGACATTGAGTTCCTGGAGCGTGTCCAGAGAAGGGCAACGAAGCTGGTGAAGGCTCTGGAGCACAAGCTACCAGGGCTCAGCAGTATCCCAGCTCTTTGGCATGCTTTAAAGAGCCCTTCCAAAAAGGGCTCTCTGCTGCCACGCCCAGGTGGGCTTCACCACCTCTTCCTCCAGCCCTGTGTGGAAATCGAGATTTGCTGAGGTCTCATTGCAGCCTCAAGACAGGAGCTGAAGCGGGTACCCAGGAGGAGCCCATATGCAGCCTCCTGGCTGATGCTTCCCTGGGCAGCTGCAGGCAGTGGTGGGAAAGTCCATCATCTCCTGAGCAGGTCAGGAAGCTGGTGTTCAGCACAGCGGGGTGATTTGTCCAAGGTCAGTAGGTGTCCATCTGGGAATGGTGGCTGGGCATCATGACTCTGAGGTCTCAGCCCAGGTTTTGCTCTCTATTGCACAAATACAAATTACATTACGGTTCCTCTGCCTGCAGCGAGAGGTCTCTGGGTTTAAGGCTGTTTCACATGCAAAATGTAATTGCAATATAGTGATGTGGGGCCTGAATTCTACTCCCTCTTATTCACCTAAACCCCACTTACCTTGCTCCCTCCAGCATCAGCTAGTAACCAGAGTAAATCTTGAGTAACTCCACAACAATGGGTGTGATAAAATTCTTCCCACCAAATTTCCTTTCTCCAAGAGCTGCCCTCAGATAACAGGTAGGGGAAGCATCTTGAAAGCCAGGTGCAAGTACATAAAATGCATTCACCTGACATAATCTCCAGTTTCTGACAATCAGCAATGAGGAGACTTGCTGGGTCAAAAATTGTATCCCTCATCTTGTGCTTTGTGGCTATTTCTTCAATTTTTACAGTCATTTTTTACCTCATTTCTATTTTGATGCTGCAAGTATCCAATTGTGATGAGTCCAGTGGCTGAACTATGCATTGCATCAAAAAAGCATTCCTATTTGTTCAGCTTATACCTAATAATTTCACTGTGTGCCTACTAGCTCTTGTGTTATGAGGAACAATGACTAACCATTCCATATTTCACTTTTTTTTTTACCACTCCTGATTTTTTAGACCCCCTGCCAATATCCTCTTCATTCACCTCTTTTACAAGATAAAGAGTTCTCATTTATTTAATCCCCCCCCAAAAGAGGTCATTCCGTACCTTCCTTCACCTCTTTTACAAGATAAAAAGTCCTTATCTATTTAATCTCCCCCAAACAGAGGTCATTCCATACCTTCATTCACTCTTGCCATGTTTCCACATCCCTTTTTCAATTGTCCCATATAATTTCTGTGATGGGATGACCAGAACCACAAATACATTCGCTGTGAAAGTGCATAGCATGGTTGTTCATTGCTATAATGGTATGATGTGTTTTCCCAACTATTTATAACCTTCTTTCTGCCTTTTGCCTTTGGAGCTGATGCTTTCTCAATTTGTGACATCTGGGCCCCTTCCCAAAGAGGCAATAATTAATTATAAGTAATTTAGAACCCATTGTTGCACCTGTGTGATCAGGGTTGATTTTCTGCAAGTGAGTTACTTCTGATGTCTGTCATGCAGACACTCAAGTTGCAGAAGATTCCTCTGTGTCTCCTCATACTCAGGCCTGTGTTGGTTGTCTGAAGAACTGGATATGATAAGGAAACGCTGCCATATTCCTATTTCCCATCTATTTCAGATTATGTGAGAGTACATTATGCATATGATCATGCTAAAGCATATGCTATGAATCTTAATTGGTTAATTCCCTGTCTTGAAAAATGACCATTCATCTCCACCTTTCATCTTCCAGTGTCATTAATCCACAGGAGGACCTCTCCTCTGATCTAACTGCAGCTTATTTTCTGTGACACTCTTTAGTAAGGGATCTTGTCTAATGGTCCTCTGAAGGCACTTCATTGCATTGACCTTTGTCCACTCATTGTCTTGCTCTGGGAACTCCAGCAGATTTGTGGCCATGCTTAAAGGCCATGCGTCTCTTGTCCTATCATGTCACATTCCTTCAAATGTCTGTTAAATCTACTTTTTTTTCTGGTAGCCTTGTGCCCATAAGAAAGTCATTCTTACAGATATGGGTCTTCTCAGGTCCTTCAGGAACCTCTACAAAAATCACAGAATCATAAATCATAGAATCATAGAATGGTTTGGGTTGGAAGGGACCTTAAAGATCATCTGGTTCCAACCCCCACCCTTCCATCAGCAGGGACCCCTTCCACTAGACCAGGTTGCTCAAAGCCTCATCCAGCCTGGCCTTTAACATTTCCAGGGAGAGGCAGCCACAATTTCATGAATGCTCCTTATTTTCACTGCTCTCGTAGTGAGGCAAACTGAAGCAACAGGTTACACATCTCTTTGATGCAACCTAGTCCTGGCAACAAGCTGCTACTCCCTTTGCCAATTTGTTCTAAGGACCTCATTGACCAACAATTCTCTTTGCAACAGCTCCTGGGGCTGATCTGCTGGGGAGACCACCTCTGCTGGGGAAACTTCCCTGAACACCCAATGCCAGAGGGAGCAGAGGTGCAAAGGTTTATTTGTGCTTGTCTGCTATGGCCCTGTGGTCCTTGGGTGCCCCTTTAACCCTGGTCACCTCTCAGCCTGCCAAGCTTTCTCACGGGCTTCCTGCTACAGATGTGGCTGTAAACATTTACTTTTTTTTTTTTTTTTTTTTTTTTTTTTGTAGACTATTTCTAAAAAAATTTGCTTTGGCCAGTCTTATCGTTTTCTTGCCAGTGGTTTCTGTAATCTACATTTTCTTGCCAGAGGTTGTTCTATCTTCCTTGCTTCAGCAAGAATTTTATGGTGGAATTATGCTGGGGCAAAACCAAGAGAAAAAGGGAACAAAGCCCAGTAGGAATGTCCCAGGGACTACAATACACAAGTGAATGGGTCACCACACACTCTCAGCATGGACAGAACAATCTGCCATGTGTAGGACTAATTCACCAGTGTATCCCAGCACAGAGAGGCATCTCATCTTCCAAAGCACAAATAGCATCTGCAGTGACTTCAGTGGAGGCAAGGGCAGGGGTTTATCACCATAAACAAAAGCACAAGTTGACCTACTGTGCCCCTGTGCTTGCATTCAAAACATGGTGGCCAATGGTGCTGACTCCAGCCACCAACCAAATATGCCATGGTGACCTTTCCCATGACGCCAGCAGCGTCATGTGTGATGGTGCTGGATGCATCCTCAAAGACTGTTTCTGTCTTCTTTTCAGGGCCACCTTGAGGAAACTCCGCCCAGAGGACATGTTTGAGACGTGGGTAAGCACATGTAGATGGGAAACCCTGCATCCCCTGCTAGCTTCCAACAAGAAATCATTGCTCAAAAACAAACAAACAAAAACAACCAAAAAATCTCTGGCTGGGCAAAACATTATGTTTCCTTCCTTGCAAAGTCACTTTCTCTCCTCTGGGAAGAGGGAAAGCCTTGGCTATGATGCCTAGTGCCTGAGTTCAGACGGTGTGCTCAAATGCTTTGCTCAGCAGTGGTGGACAGCTGAGCTGGGTCCTGTTTGCTCCACAGAGAGAACAGGGAAAGCTAACCAAGTGTGCCAGGTGCATGTTGAGCCTCTGTAGCGACTGTGATATAGCTATGGAGCGCTTCCTTCCCAAGGATCTTATCTAACGGGTGTCAGTGCTGTTGGTGAGGTGACTTCAGTGGCCTGCTCGCTGGGCTTGCTACAGAGGTTGTACCAAACAGATGACTCATGGAAATTTTACTAGAGAAGTCGTACAATTCAAAATCCAAGTGAGGGCAGGCAGTTCAGTTAATTATATATATTACAGAGTAAATTGTGCCTTGATTGCACTTCACACACAGGGAGCAAGCTGCAGGTTAGTGATGGTGGAGAACTAACCAGCAGTTTGGGACCGATCACATGCAGAGGACTCTCCTGGTCTGCAAGTGGGGGAAAAGGGGAAGGGTGAAAATGAAAGAAAAATCGTGTATAACGAATTATCCCTTCGCTGTGAATGAGTACGATGTTAATAGCCAGTCACGGAGCCTCAAGTGCCAGCTGAACGCTGAAAACCAAAGCTGAACAGGTGCTTTACAGACGCTAAGGAAGATGCCGTCATTCCTCCAGAAAGCTCAGCACATTTATAACAGCATTCAGTTGCCTCCTTGCTTGGCTGTGTAACATGAAACGCTGCAGGACTCAGAAGCACCAAAAACCTTGGGAGTCTTTAATACAACAAGGCAAGAGGTAATAAAACTAAATCAGGACTTATGAGTCACTTAAGCATGATAGCTTTTCATTTTATTTTGAATTACAGATTCTGTGTAGAAGATGATAGCTTCCTAGAGCCATTGAAGTCCCTCAAAGTGTTTTCATGGGGCTTCAGTGGGACCTAAATTTCACATGTGGTGGTTTTTCTTGTATACTGAATATATTTTTAAATAGCCTCAGGAAATGTGTGAATTGTCAGCGATGGAATGTTTGCTTTACCACCAGCCTGGGACCGCAGAGCTTGCCACTACTACGAGGAAGGGACTAGTACCTACGGGTACTAGTAGATCAGGGTGATCAGGTGATCCGCAGATCAGGGTGACAACAAGCTGAATTCTGATCTTGCTGCAAGTACAGAACATCCCCAGTGCCTTCACTGGAGTTACTCTAGTTTTGTTTGCTGCCTTGGAGGGCAGAATATAGCTATATTATATAACTATATATAAATATAATTATATACCACATATATATATATTTTTTTTATTTTGCTGTCTGACAATACTGTGGGCAAATATAGGAGAAAAGCAACAGCGTAGATTTTGCCAGCTGCAAGTGGTCTGAATCCCAAGTAAATCTGCCTAGAATGCCCTGGTGAAAACATATTCCCCGAAGACACCAGCAAAGGCCCAGCATCTGCTATTGTTTTTAAAGATAATGTTTTCCACTTAATCTTTCAAGGTTTTTTCCTTTCAGTTTTTGATGGTGGCTTTGTCACCTCTGGGCTCAGAAGGGAAAAGAAATTAGCATTTAGATGGGAATTTTTTCTTGCATTAAAACCAATTGAAATGGAAACTGGGACCAGCAGCGGGTGAGGAAGGCGAAGCCGATCCGTGGGGTAATTCAGAAATGACATTCATAGCAGGCCGATGATGGACTGGCCAGCAGATCCATTGGCCTTTGCCAGTGTCATTACCCGTTACTCATGTGTCTCATGGAGAAAAGCAGTCCACCATGCTGTCATTTGTGTCCTCCACTCTCTGGAGCCCCCAGATGAGCGTCCCCACTCAATTCCCCTTGCTGCTCATGGAGACCCTCACCTAGAGCACAGACCCTTCACCTCCCGAAAGGTGTCCGAGTCAGCCACCTTGCCTCTCATGTTGTGAGGAAACCTCCTTTGCTGGCCCCAAAGGAGTACGTTTCAGGTTTGAACATGGTGGCAGATATTTGTTTCCCTGGAAACCATCCCTAGCAGCTGCACATTTATGAGGGTAGGTGGCCTCAGGCACAGAGGGTGAGCCCATATTCCCATGCTAGAGAGCCCTTGGCCTTCTCTGCAAGCAAACTTTTGCCAACATCATCAGAAGCTCCCTTGCCTTTGCCATCATGGTGTCCACCTCATTTTTAGCTGAAGGGTTTCAGCAACGCCACCCAAACTACTTGCTTCAACCCTTAATACCTCTACACAGCTCCCATTTCTGGTGTCTCAGTGGGGTCCCAGTCAAGCCTTCCTTTGCAATCATCCTGTTCATTCGAAGGCATCCCACTACTCCTCATCTCCAGCAAACACCTGGGCTCTGTCCTCCCTCCCTGGCCCATCAGTAATAGTTTTGTTGTTTCCAGGAGGATGACATGGAAGGAATCCACATTGTGGCCTTTGCTGAAGAAGACGACCCAGGTAGGAGGCTGATTTCTTCCTTGCGTGACTCTCCATCACTCAAGACAGTGTAGTTGCATGTGTTCTGATTGCATTGTGAAGCCGCATACCCCAGCTGAGACGAGGAGCCCCACTCTCCTGGAACAGGGAGCTGCGATGCTTCTGGTTTACACTTGTAGGTGTGCTAGCTGGGATTCAAATTCTGGATATAAACAGATGGCCAGCTGGGAAAAAAAAGTCATCCCCTTCACCCCAGTGGTAGGATTTGCTCCCTTACTCTGCATCCATCTTGCTGTGTGGTTCCAGGAAAGTGCTGAGGGCTGGGTGTGTGATGTGCATGCGGAAAACCCATGGGCATCAGCTCCTGAAAATCCGGGGCATCAGTGCTGCTCAGTGCCATCAGCCTGCCGAAAAGCTTCCGCCTCTCGGGATCTTCCCTCGCCACAAGAAAATACTGACATTGTTTCACTCCATGGAAGGATTACGAGGCTTAATTCATGTGTAACTAATTTCAATACCCGGGGAGGATGCTCGAAATTAAAAGCCTTATTATCAGCAGAAAGAGCTGGGAGACAGCATTTTAATGAGAACTATAAACAACTCCTGTGTGCGTAGGGGGGTAAGGGAAGTTGAAAACCCCTCAAGCGAAACGTTCCTGCGTGTTTGCAGGAGAGGGCTGCAGTGGTTCATATATCATTTCAGATGGTTTTGAGTTCCTGGAAATCCTGAAGCAGGTTGCCAGGGACAACACGGATAATCCCGACCTGAGCATTGTCTGGATTGACCCGGATGACTTTCCTCTGGTGAGTGGCAGGGGCTTCTTGCCTTTCTCGGTTTAATTAATGGATGGGGGAGTGTTTGTGTGTGTGCACAAACTCAGGAATTGTCCCAGGGAATTTGGGATGGGGAAGGACGGGAGACTGGACCATGGATGATCCCTGAGAGCTTCTTGTTTGGGTCTGCCTCCCATGAAGGTGGTGTCTTGGGAACATCCCCAGTCAGCACTTTCCTTTGTCACGTGTGGCAGCCCAAGCTTGCGTTCAGCCTCTCTCCTCTCCCGTGCACTCATGGATGCTCACTCCCTGCACCACAGCCCAGCCAGCTGAATTAATGCAACGGGGTAGTGCAAACACCTTTGTCTGAGCTTTGTTTCCCTCTCCTGCAGCTGATCACTTACTGGGAGAAGACTTTCAAGATTGATCTGTTCAGACCACAGATCGGGGTGGTGAACGTCACAGACGTGAGTAGTGCATGCCCAGAAAATCCAGAAATCCCAAGATTAGGGTGCTAGAAAAGAAGAGATCTGAGGTCCGCTGGGATCAGTGGGATTTCTGCTGTTATGTGGAAGTGGACCAGGCTTTTTCTCCAGAAAAAAGTGTAAAGACCTCTCTGTTCCCAAACACAGCTGGGTTCATAACACCTCTGACGTTGGGCTTCAAGGGCTTTGGGCTGAGCATGTTTCTGCTGCTGAGTCGCACACAAATCACATCTGCTGAGGACAGGAGCAGCCCCTGTGCTCTAAGCTTCAGGGCTTCACCTGGTTTTGTTTCCAAGGTCTCACATTTCCTCCCCAACCCACAGCATGGACCATTGTGCTCTGTCCTAACTGAACCTGAGTGGGCTTGTGGGGGAAAAGAGTGTGTGTAGGGCAGAAAGCAAGCTGTGCTTAGGGGAGGAAAACAGGAGGAAAAGGAGGATGTTTTTGTAGAAGAAGTGGAATGGCCCAGCTTGAGTGTAGGAGGGAAAGATGGTCCCCAACAGATGACAGGGAGAAACTGCACAGCTTGGAAAAAAACAAATAAACACACAGCCTTTATAAGAGTATGACATAAACTGGTAACAGAGGGAGCCTGCTGGGCTGAAGAAGGTATACTGGGGTTCATCCAGGCCCTCCTCCTCCTCAGCCACTGATGTGTGGGTAGTGCTGGAGGGATTTGGGTGGCAAGAGGAGATGCGTCCACCCCATGCCTGGTGGCAGTGAAGGGTTTCCATGCCATCCCGCAGCCAGCAGCGCGCAGGGAGGTGCTGCTTTGGCAGGGCTGCGGTGGTGGTACCCACAACATCCCCAGCTGTGCTATCAGGCCAACTTTCCACCAGCTAATCTTTTCACCATGGCTGCCTTCAAGGCATCAAGTCATGGGACTGATGTCAGGTTGCCCACACACTGTAAGCTTTTAAGGCAGGTGGGAGAGGGACCCATCCGACCCCCATCAGCAGAGATCTGGGGAGAGCTGCTGAGTGCAGTGTAACATGCATCATGGCCCCGACATGACTATGAGGAGAAACCATTTTTCCTCTCTGACAATAACAGTCCAGACAACCAGAAAGCAGGTAACACGGAGCACTCCAGCCTGGCTCACTTATTACCTTAGTTTATTTTTGATGGTTAAGTGCTGGGTGTTTTAATCTCTTTAAAATGAACCTGTGTGGGTAGGTAAATGTCTCTGGAAGCAGAAATCTCTCCACTGCAGAAGTGTTTGTAAATTGGTGCCTGACTTTGTGTTTTGAAATTTTAGCTGTATGGGAACCTGATGTTTCATTAGAGGAGAGAGTAGAGAGGGACTTGGGATAAGTATCCAGGGCTGGGTGCTGGCCCTGGCTCCACCACCAACCTTGCTCCTGGCCCGCACATCCTCTTTATGGTACCTCGCCAAAAAAAGAGGGACAGTGAGGGGGTACCAGACAATTGTGCCTCCTGTTATAAATCCTGCATGACCATAAGACAGGAGACATGATAGGGAAGGCAAAGTGATGGTGTTACAAAGAACGTGGAGGTCCTGGATCTTGCCCATCCCATTGAGGGGAATGACAGGCTGGATTGGGAGTCAGGGAGTAGACACAGAACTGGCTGCATGTGAGCAGTGTTTTACCTGTAATAGAGCAGCATCCACCAGACCGTGGGATAGACACCTGGAGATGGGGACCCAGTGGGTTAAGGCTTGTTAGCAGAATTGTTAAGGGAGAAACAAAAGGCAAGAGGGTCAAAATAGCATCTGTCACCTAAGATCATGAGAGAAATTAACAGACGAGCCAGAAACAGAGCCCAAATCTTCTGGGCTTTTACCATTATTACTAGTGCACAGAATCTCCCTTCGTTATATTTACTGCAGTTGTCCTTGTTTAAGTCATGTCAAAGCTACATTAAACAGCATCAATGGAAATTCATGGAAGTAGGATTGTCAGTGGCAAGAGAATCATATAGAAAGCAGTGTTAGGCAGGAACATATGCGTTATTATCCAGCAGTCACTCAGAGACCTGTAAAAACTCATGAATTATCTAGCTTTGATAGAGTAAATGCTCAGGTTGTTGATTATAGTATTTGCAGTTTTTATTTCACGCCTCTTAAGTCTGTTTTCTATTCCTCAAGAGAGAGATTTAAGAAAGTTCTAGGCTGGCGGGCGATATCTAAAACAAACAGTGAGCTCATTTCGTTATTTCAGTGTTACATCACTGCATTCAGCCAAGTTCCACAGGTACAAAGTGAGGCTTACACAACAGAGTAAAAATAAACACTGCTGCTGGCTTTGGTGGACATAACCCCTGTGACCCCATCACTTCTCTAAAAACCTGCCAACACAAACACCAGAGCTCCCAGCAGCCCCCACTGGCCCATCACATCGTAGTATCATGGGACTAGGGCCATGGTGCTACAAAATATTGCTGTTTTATTTGCACAGCATCTTCTCTAGGTGTGGTGGGCCCATTCCTGTTCCCCTTATTTAAAAGTGTTGCTTTTTGCCACACAAATAGCCTGGAGGTCGGGGACAGGATCATTTGCATGAAGCAAGAACTGCATACCTCTCCATGGATCTTTTTTATTACCATTTTGGTGTTTTAAGTGGAAAATGCTGCCTCCCTGGAAGTGTTCAAGGCCAGGTTGGATGAGGCTTTGAACAACCTGGTCTAGTGGAAGGTGTCCCTGCTGATGGCAGGGGGGTTGGAACTAGATGAGCTTTAAGGTCCCTTCCAACCCAAACCATTTTATGATTTTATTAAAATATTGTAAGAGAAAGAGCTTTCCCTGAGCAGAAATTGGTCTGGCTTTTTAGCAAGCCATACAACAAAGAGAATTAGGTACTATAGGCAGGGAAAGAAGTGGGGCACATTTGCAAAAGCCGGTGGTTATCTTCTGATATATGAAAAGCATTTGCTTCTGCAACATCAAACGCTGAACGAGATAACCTCACAGCACATCTGTGAAATAGGAGGCTGATCCTACTCTACAGAAGGGAGACAGTGAAGGGAAGGGGGCTTACCCAGGCATTTACCCAAGGAACCTATAGCAAAGCAGTGAGAAAACCTTTCATTTCCAGATCTCAGAGAACATCTAAGCTGTGCTTCCTGTCCCTGGCTGATAGCTGCAATTTAGACGGCATTTTCTCACTACATTTTAGACAGCATCTTCTTAGTGAATCCCCCCATGCCCTCCAGTTTATGGGAGTAATGCAGACAGCTGGA